TTTGTGCTGGTCTGTAGAATTCTCTGTCATCAAGCAGAGCTTTGGCTTTCTCACTGTAGTCTTCTCGATTCATGACGACCGTTGACCGTCCCTTAACCGCGGGCAGAGCAATACACGCATATACAAACATAAGCTAGCTGTCAGACGGGCTGACGCGCTGTCGCACCTATGAGACTGGCCACGAATTTAACTTCGCAACCACAAAGATAATTGCTCACGCTTGCAGCAAGGCAGGACGCGGGGTAATTGAAGCCTGGGTCTTGGATGACGACTCAGTCAACCGGTGCACTGAGCTGGCGCACGCCTACATTGCTCTCCGTAGGCATACGCGCGTGGCCGAGACTGGTGATTAATGAGTCCCCCCTACCAATAACAGTTCATCGGTTCCTGCCCCCTATAACTGTTTCTCGCTGTTCGTTGACTGTTTACCTCTGACGATGGACTCCCGCTAGAGCCCGAAAGCTAAAAAGAATAAAATGATGATTCCGGTGATCGAAACGCCTTCTTCTTCTAACTCTAGTAAGTTGCTGTGAATGGTACTTAAGGAAACCTCAAAATGGCAAATACTTCCTGCCAAAGGCCCTTCGCCATAGTCTCAGGGAGCTTCGTCGAGATTAGCAAAATGACTAACGTTGGCGAAATGAAAATAATGTCATTCGATGTATCATCACTGTTTACCATTGAACTCATGGTAGAAACTATAGAATACCTATGTGACGTAATATGGTGGAGAAACTAATAGATAGGGATGACATTGGAGAGGATAAAAAAGTTTACAGTTGCACTACTTTGCCGGTAGCGAACTTGCGCATATCTTTCATAAACCCTCCCCCACTACGGCTGGCGGGTAAAGACCGACTACCGTCAAAATTCTCATTCATGTGTATTTACGCATTCACATACTGCAACGGAAGGGGAAATATTGACCGAACAACGAGGTGGCTGGAGAAGAGGATACATAAACGCAGACCGGCCTGGCTAGGCAAATGAGGAAGTTGACCGCTCTCAAATGTGTTTCTTCTACTAAGTTTACTCGCAAAGGAGGCTTTTGAGGTCATATACCCAAGCATAATCAAAATACTCTAAAGGCCCACACAACCGGGTTCTAGCCATAGGCGGGAATCGCAGGCCGCCCCAATTCACACGCACGCCATAGGTTTGACCTCAGATAGAGCCTACCGTCAGCATGTCTTCCCCAAGCCAAGAGGCGTGGGAAAGAAAAAATGACTAAGCACACCCTCCTCTTGTTTTCCTGAAAAAATTAAGCCCTGAACATATTTGACTGATAAATGTATGGTTTCACTAGACGTTGAATCCTTATTTACAAATGTACCGCTGGACGAAACAATAAATATTATTTGTGCCCATGCGTCTGAAACCCGTCTGCCGCCTGAAATACTGCGCCAATTGCTAGTACTCTGTACCAAACATGTTCCCATTCTATTTAATGGACACATTTACAGACAATTGGGCGGAAACGCAATGGGCAGTCCACTATGGCCCAC